AGGGGATTCTCGTCAGGGTGCCTCAGATCAGCGCAGACAGGGGGATTCCCGTCACTGTGATTATTGTGGCCGATCAGGACATCTCAGGGCTACTTGCTGGAAGCTCCATCCAGAGCTTAAGCTGCCTCTCGCAGCCGTACTGTTGCTATTGCTGAGGTACCACCACCCACTACCGCTACTCTTGCTGCTGCTGCTCCACCTTGGCAGAGTGATATGGATGCTATCACTTCCCGATTAGATATACTTATGTCTGCTCTGACTTCTCAGAGTCTGACTACTGCTAATGTCACCACTACAGGTATACCTCGTGCCTTTCACGCTTGTGCCAGTTCATCTCCTCTTTGGATGTTGGACTCGGGTGCGAATGGTCACATGACAGGTGAGGCCCATCACTTCACCACTTTTGACGAGCAGTTACATACACAGGTTCAGTTAGCAGATGGGACACATGCCCCTATTGTTAGTAGGGGTACAGTCCTCCTCCCAGATGGCCTTACATTACGTTCGGTTTTTCATGCGCCAAAGTTGGCCATGAATCTATTATCTGTACATCAGTTAGCCAGAGATTTTTACTGTGCGATTGTATTCTTATCTGATTCGTGTTATTTGCAGGACCTGAGTACCAGGAGGATTATTATCAGGGGACATGAGAAAGATGGGCTATATTATCTTGGCAATCCACCTCCAGTTTCACCAATTCCTCCACCTACATCACCTGCACCTGCTTTGTCTTTTTCTATTCCTAGCTTACATGCTAGTATTTTACCTAGTAGTTGTCGTTATGATTTTTCGTCACAAACTGTTCAGTTGTGGCATGACCGTTTTGGACATACAAATTTTAAATATTTATGTATGTTGTTTCCTGCTTTGAGCAATGCTTGTGTCGGTGGTAAACTTGACTGTGTTATATGTTCCCTATCGAAACATGTTAGGGCCAGTTAAATTCCTCGCATGCACCAGTCACCTAAGCCATTTGACCTAATACACTCTGATATTTGGGGACCCTCTCCCGTTACTGCTTTGTCAGGTGCCCGATATTATGTGACATTTATAGATGACCATACCCGTTGTACTTGGGTCTATCTTTTGCATAGAAAGTCTGATGTACTTCCTATAATTACTCAGTTTTTACAAATGATTAAGACACAATTCGATGTCATTGTTCGTGCTCTTCGTTCGGATAATGCCAAAGAATATGTGTCTGATGCCTTAGTGTCTCACCTTTCTTCTCAGGGTATTCTTCAGCAACTCACTTGTCCATATACTCCTGAGCAAAATGGTGTTGCTGAAAGGAAAAATAGGAGTTTGATAGAGATGGTACGTTGTATGCTTAGAGGCATGAGGGTACCAAAATCTTATTGGCATTTTGCTGTTTTGACTTCTACCTTTTTGTGCAATCGTACGCCGAGTCGTGTTCTTCAGCATAAGGCTCCCTTACAGGTTTTATTTCCTGAGCGGACACTTTTTCGGTCCCTCCTCGTGTTTTTGGATGCATATGTTTTGTTCAGGATCGGTCTCCTACTCGTCATAAACTTGATGATAAAGCGATTCGTTGTATTTTGTGGGCTATTGTCATCAATCTAAGGGGTATCGGTGTTATGATCCTATAAGGCGCCGTATGTATCACAGTCTAGATGTTACCTTTCTTGAGCATATTCCTTATTTTTCTCCCAGTCCTGTGTCTGCCCCTCCAGTTGATGATACTCCCTTTGATTTTCCATTACCACAGGAGTCAGAGTCATTGGTCATTATCCCTACAAGGTTATCTGTTTCTCCTCCTTCAGAGCCACTCATCTCTGTCAGTACAGAGTATGTTCGTCGCCCTCGCTCTCATCACCCTGCTGATGTCCCCTCTACCTCAGGCGATGCAGGTAATACTTCTCAGTTTGTTGAGCATATTGATGCACCTGTTGTTAGTACTGATGAGATTGCAGGTGCTGAGCCAGTTCATTTACCTGATGAGACATTATCAGTGGAGGAGTATGATTTAGGGCGTCGTTATCCGCGGCGTGATCGCCGTCCAGTTGATCATTATGGTTGGACCGCTAGGATTTTATATCCGATCTCTGTTTATGTTTCTTATGGTGATCTGTCTCCCATATATCGAGCTTATACTATAGCCTTATCAGATACGTCGGTTCCTCGCTCTATTTTGGAGGCTATGCGGGAGCCCCAATGGGTTCTTGCCATGGAGACAGAGATGGACGCTCTTCAGCGCAATCATACATGGGATCTTGTCTCCTTACCTTCAGGGGTGAAACCTGTTGGCTGTCGCTGGGTTTACACCCTGAAATTTCTTGCGGACGGTACTATTGATCGTCACAAGGCTAGACTTGTGGCGAAGGGCTTTACTCAGGTACCAGGTCATGATTTTGGTGCTACATTTGCCTCTGTGGCAAAATTGACTACTGTTCGGTTGATTATTTCTTTGGCTACGGAGTACTCTTGGCCTCTTCATCAATTAGATGTGAAGAATGCATTTCTTCACGGTGATCTGGACGAGATTATTTATATGGATGCACCACCGGGCTTTCGTGGTGAGAGGGAGTATGCTGGAAAGGTATGTCGACTGCGTAAGTCTCTTTATGGACTGAAGCAGTCGCCACGAGCCTGGTTTTCTCGCTTTAGTGATGTAGTCGTACGATTGGGGTTCACCAGGTGTCATTCTGATCATACCTGCTTTATTCGACGGAATACTTCTGGACAGTGTGTCATTCTTCTAGTATATGTTGATGATATTATTATTACTGGTGATGATGTTTCTGGGACTGCGCAAGTCAAGATAGACCTTGGAAATGCTTTCGATGTGAAAGATCTTGGATTTCTGCGATACTTTATTGGGATTGAGGTTGCCCGTAGCGGCAGGGGTGTTGTTCTTTCTCAAAGAAAGTATGTTTTGGATCTTCTTTCAGACACTGGGATGTTGGGGTGCAAACCGACATCATCACCCATGATTCCAAACCTGAAGCTTACTGCTGAAGGTGAGGAGTTGAAAGATCCGACAATTTATCAAAGATTGGTAGGTAGACTTATCTACTTGGCCAATACTAGGCCGGACATTTCATTCGCAGTCAGCCGAGTTAGTCAGTTCATGCACAAGCCATGTCAGCCTCATCTTGATGCAGTTTATCATATTCTTCGGTACCTCAAGTCTTGTCCTGGACTTGGGTTGTTTTATGTATCAGGATCTCAGACCGGTTCTCTAGCCTGTTATTCAGATTCAGATTATGGGGGAGCATGTGATGGTCAATCTACTACGGGCTTCTGTGCTTTTCGAGAGACTCATCTTATCTCTTGGAAGAGCAAGAAGCAGACAGTTGTCTCCCGCTCGTCAGCAGAGGCAGAGTATCGGGCACTGACACTTGGCACGTGTGAGATTATCTGGCTACGATCGATTCTTGGCGAGTTGGGTTTTTCAGTGACCTCTTCTTCCACATTATATTGTGATAATCGATCTGCTATTCAGCTCGCTTCTGACTCTGTACTACATGAGAGGACGAAGCATATAGAGAGTGATGTTCACTTTCTTCGGGAGAAGGTTAGCAGTGGTATTGTCACTCCATCGTTTGTGGGGACCAGTGATCAGGTTGCAGATGTTTTTACCAAACCTGTCACTCTATCTATTATTCGGGACTCCGTTGTCAAGCTTGGCTTAGTTGACATTTTTGCGTCTAACTTGAGGGGGAGTGTTGGAGATATAGAAGCAGCCTAGTTTATTAGGGTTTTATTAGTTTTCCTTTTTACCTTTTTTGTCCTTATGGTAACTCTCATTAACTATATATACAGGGACTCTATACTTAATTTGTATCCCTTTTCATTCACAACTATCTCAAGTGTGTTAATAACCCATCAGTAATGAACATGTTATGTGTGTTAAATAGGTCTGTGTTATATGTGTTAAACATGTCATGTTATATGTATTAATCTAAAAACGACATGTTCATTAAATGTGTCAAACATGTCAAATTCGGATAACTTGTTTAATGACTAGATCAAGTTAGTGTTTATATATCTTGACGCGATTCAAATTTTAAAATTTTTGATATAAACTCAATATCAACATAACACAAAATGACTCAACCGGATACGTTTGACACCCCTTTGGTTACCAAAACAACTCCTTAGAATTATAATCTTAGAATTTTAGCTGTCATTAGTGAGTAACTTATATTCAATCCAGAGTTAACTCACTCCAGTTGCATAAAAAAAAATTGGAATGGAAAAATGTTTTTTGTTTTATTTGACCGCACGTGTTTGGCGGTTTGACCGACGAAAGGGTTGGCTTATTGACCAGCTTTGCGGCAGGACAAAATATTCAATTATAACGTGATATTATATTATTATGATTATATAATTTAATCATTAAATAAAAATTTATGATATAAAATAGAACAGATTTTATTAAGTTTATTTATTAAGTTTATTTGACAGTCTCAAATAAACACATTCAACGACTACTGACATCCCTCTTAAAATTGTTCACATTAAATTTTACTTTCTTGTTGACCAAAAAAAGAAAAAAAATTTATTTTTCTCTCCTCGTTTTCACTCTCTCTTTGGGTTTATCATTCTTTACTTCTCTAAATTAATTCGTTGATTTATGTTACACTGTCTTTCAGGTACGAATTATTCATAATTAACAAACAAATGAGATGAATTTAATAAATAGTAACGATATAATGATTGCATTGAATAAGTGAATTTGGTACAACCTCATCAACTTTGTCGAGATATATCGACCAATAGACTTGAATTAAGAAAAAGGTTAATAGCAGAATCACATTATGGTGTTAATTAAGACTCTTCATAATTATGATTCGTAAAGCCACCGTACAACAATTTCTACATTAATCCAAATTAGTGTGCAAATAACTACCAATTCTATTAGAGTAATTGTTTTTGAGACTTTACGTGCCGTTTACGGCGACAAAGTTAATGGGACTCTAGCCAGCAAGCCGCCTCACTATTCTAACTTTGAATCATATCTCACCTTTACGACCACATATACCACATTCATCTTTCTTTCTGTACTCTACAACCTCCTTCCCTGCCTCCTTCACCCAACCTCTCTCATGGAGAATTTTCCAACCTCGTTTTCATACTCATCTTCAGCATCATCAGCTTCTCACTTGCCATTGAATATGATCATCAACCCTCATGCTTATTCAGAATTTCAAGGCAGCAAACCAAATGGGTTCTTGGGATTGATGACAAACATGGGAGTTCCAAGTTCAGATGGTAATAATGTTCCTCAGAGCAAAAGCCTGGTTGATAGTGATGCTGAAGTGAAATCAAGTAAGGGAAAGGGAGACAAGAAGATTAGAAAGCCTAGACATGCATTTCAAACAAGAAGCCATGTTGATATACTTGATGATGGGTATAGATGGAGAAAATATGGACAAAAGGTCGTGAAGAACAACAAATTTCCAAGGTAAGTTAGTTCATTTCTCATCTATTTTGACTTCAATTCAGTTTATGGAAATTTTGTTGCATATTAGAATTGATTTGTGATGAAGTCGGTCTCTGTCTTCTCATCCAAGATGACTCAAAAGGAGGAGGGAAAGGCTCAGAAAGAAGGTAGCGGGCAGTGATTCATGCCATGAGGGATTAGCAAGATATGCGGAAGATGGGGAGGCTTGCCTCATCGTTCCTCGGATCACGAACTCAATGAAAATACAACTCACTCAACTATTGTCTTTGGTCCCAAACTCCATATGGAGAAGGAGCATTGTTGTTTATGAGGTCTTGATCATTGATTTGAACCCACTTCTCGTTCCATTTGTGGGAATTTGATGATCTATAATCGTCTCTAAGGAACGATCAATTCATGTTTAAGTATGATGAATCACTTCGTGCTGATACTGTATTGTGAGATATTTGTAAACTTTGTAACACATAAATAGAACTCTGACTCACACATCCTCAATAGTCCTTTAGTTCAACCTTCTCTCCTAGCTACCTTAGAAAGGTATTCTGTTCCAATCTTCTTTCCTACCCACCCTTATTTTATCCCACTTCACTTTTAGTCCGGAAAGAGAAGCAAAGAGGATGGCTTCTCACAAAGCATGACAAGAATGGTCGTAGCACACCATTATCAGTCACTGATAAAGTTCCCCTATATGAATACCACATACAAAAATAACCTAGAAATTGGATAAGAAGAGAACTAGCTCTGCCGTTCCTATGGAATTTTGAGAGACAAAAATGTGTCCTGGTTGTGTGGTGAGACTTTATTGAAACGTGTAGATAAAATATGTCCCAATCCTTGTGTAAGATACAAGATATGTTCTACATCAACAAGAGAAGGCAAACTTTTCCACGCGGAAAAGCTGTGCCTAAAGGTTGTCAACTCTTCTGATAAATGAACTCAAAGACCCACTCTCCTCTCACCGAATCTTTCGGTGTGCTTTATGACATGTTAATGGCTGCAGTATCCAATATCTTGTTGCCCTGTAAACAACTTCAAAGTTCAAACAAGCGAAGCACATGTTGTCTAAACATAGGTTGATTGATGGCAAAGTTTCTTTAAGTGCCAAAATTTACAAAATATTCTTACTCTGTGAACTCCATGCACATTCCTTAATGCTTCTTCTAGTTGGTTTTCTTTCCTTTTTCGTCTGTCATGTCACCCATCAATGGAGCTTTACGCTGCGCTGAACTTATGACATTGTCCAAGCAAAACCTTTTATGTCATTAGGATTTGAGAGTGAAGAGCAGGAGAGGCTGTTCATAACATATACATATTGAAATACTTGTTTAGATTTGGTTAAGATTCATAGAGCTCCAGTAACCATGTAAAAATAACTCAGCTTACATTAAGTATCTTGTGTTTATTTCCTTTGTGCATGCAGAAGCTACTACCGATGCACACATCAAGGTTGCAACGTGAAGAAGCAAGTTCAACGTCTATCTAAAGACGAGGGCATCGTTGTTACAACGTATGAAGGGATGCATTCGCATCCAATTCAGAAGTCTACTGATAACTTTGAGCATATCTTGAATCAGATGCAAGTTTACACTGCTTGCTAAATCTTCAAATCATCCTGTAAGGGGCAATGGACGTCTGAGACTTCACCATCGTAGTGTGGAGAGAATTGGATGTGACGAAGTCTTAACCCCGATATATGAAGCGGCTAGTCTTGTGATTAAAACTTGTGATACGCAGGTTACGATAGAACAAACTTAATGTTACGCCAAATCCCAAACTTTGCCATGTGTAACATATATATTAAAATTATATTTGGAATAAGTTAAGTTCCTATATGTAGAATTACTTTGAGTGGTTTATTTGTTGTATAATTCTTTTTCATATTGTGGGAGTTAGGCAGTTCTATTGGTACATTTTAATATTAATATATAATTTATAATAAAAATGTGAATTTATTTATCTATATGGATATATTGTATATATATGGATTTATTTTTTTTTTTTTGTACATTTGTATATATGAATCTATTGATACATGTATCATACTTGTTCTTACGCGTGAATCATATTTATAAGATGAATGTATGATGCATATACATAAACATGAATTTATTTGGATACATGTATGGCAACATATATGAATCATCTTTTACAACATAAATGTATTATTAGATACATATACATGTACATTGTGTCATGCATGACTTATATGCATGAATTAATTTTATTAGTTGCATGTATAGCTATATACATGTACTTTGAGTATACATCCATGACTTGGATACATAAACTCTAGAAAGTTTTAAGAGGTTATAAATAGGACCTCTAAGCATTAGAATATGTATATATGGAACATTATCCAACACATTACAACACTTCATAACATACTACACACACATGAAAGTTCAAGTCAAAGAGGGTGTTTCTATGGTTGAGTTTTGGACTTAACCACTTGTGCAGAGTTAGTTAGTGTCATATGATAAAACTGTTAAGTTGTTGTATTATGAGGGAACAAGTCAAATAAAAAGATCTGTTGCGTTGGATTTGAGTTTTGATATCCGCAGAAGGTTTGAATCCCCTTAAAGAGAGCGAGATACCTGAATTGTTTCGTATCAAATTTTATTATTTTATACGTTGTTTATCAATTGAGCAATGCTATTGAGACCTAATTTACTGACCTAATTCACTATGACCTTGAGATTGACTGTGGGCTCCATCAAACATTGAAACTTTGTGTTAATCCAATGATTTCAATGAAACCACGTCATTATGTCAGCAAATTATGTCAGAATTTTAGGTCCAAATAGCATTTTTCTTACCAATTTATGCAATTTCACCAACAATTCTGAATGTCTAAAATTATTGGACGAATAATCGGTTCAACCGCGGTACAAGCTGTCTGTACAATGCTAAGAGCAATGAGCTGAAATAGAATGGAGGCTTTCTTGCTTTGGAAGAGAAAAAAATAGAGAAAAAAGGCCTTCCAAATCAAGCAGGGAGCCCCCATGTCATATCATATGTAGAATGTAGATGTGCTAAGATTATAAACTAAAGCAGCACCTTCACCTAATATGATAGATTTTCCTTTCATGTTTTCTCTATTTTTTTATGGGCTGGCTTTGATTTATTCCCACGTAGTTAAAACTTAGCTGCACTTCAACCCCCTTTCATTCAAAAATAAGTACACACCTATCACCTTGTTTGTGGAATAAAATGCATCGAGATATCAATGTTTTTTTTTTTTTTTGACAAGTGTATATCTGGGAATAAAGTTTATATCAGCGGAGTATAGCATATTAGATCAAGTTTTCTACGCATCAAGCCTAGCATGACATTATTGACATACACGGCTTATGGACCACCTTTCTGTGGCTAAGTGCTTGACACAGATCCTCTCCACTCCACCACCAAACGTGCACCATTTACTCACAGGATAAAGGTATACGCAGTCTCCAAATTCATCTTAAATCCAAACTATGGAATTTTATTGCTTCTTTGACTGGACCGATGCATGGTTTTCTTGCTCTTGTTTTTCACATCATAAGTAACTAACAAAGGCTACCTTGACTGCAATTGAACATCTGATTTTGCTAAGGTTGTGTTGGACTAGGAAATTAAGTACAGACACACCTACTAGAATGACGTGTCCATAGAATATACATATAATGTTATTTGGTTGAGTCTCGGATATGTGACAAATATGTTGCCATGTTGGGTATACTTGGATGGATGTGATAGGGTTATATATATGTATAATTTTTATTTTTTTTTTTTATTTTTTTCGAATCAAGACTTTGGAAAAAGGTGTTTGCTCGTTACTCTCTTTCCCCCCTCCTTCCTGAAACTCTATATATCTCCACCATTACAAGGCATTTTAATAGTAGATATTGTTTTCTTTCTCCATATATGTTATTCTTCGTTCTTTTTCTCTCTTTCTTTTTGCTACTAGCTAGTAACCTATGTTTGTTAGGAAAATAAAGATGAACAATGTTTCTTAGCCGATGAATTATATTTTAGAACAAATGAGGGAACCTCTTGAAATATTGTCAAGCGTTCGGTGGTTAATCTTTGTATGCATATAAAACAATCAAATTTGTGGAGACAGGTATTAGAAAACATTCCTTTTCTATTTCTTGTCAGAATTTTAATACATTAAATTCAAAGTAATAAATTTCTCCAGTTATACTCTACCACTTGATTCATATAAACTATCCCTCCATCTCTCTTACTAATTCATCACTACTCATTTAAGTTTTTATTAAAAGTCAATTTTGTATCACCCTATAACTTCTTAATATTCTCTATTTTATTTCTCAACTGGTTGGGGTGGAACAGGTAAAAGGGTGACAAAGGTGGGGGTGGGTGGGTGAGGGGGACGGGTGAGCATGGATCCACCACTAATATCTATCTATATTATTATATCGAACTCTTTAGAGACCTTATTCTTTGTGTTTTTTTTTGTGGGAATTTTGAATTTACTAAATAAAAATTAATATTTTTCAACCATAGTCATTCACATGAAATATATATCTACATATCCAACTTACCACATCTTCTATAACTTTCTATTATATCTATACTCTTTTAACTCCCCTAATTTTCATACCCCCTTCTCAACTACGAAAAAGATCAAGGTGAAAGCCCCCAAACCAAGAATGTTCGATTCTAGCCCATTTTCTCTTAAATAAATAAAACTCACCCTCGAGCCCTAGGACGGTCGGACGGTTCTTTCCCTATTGTTTTGTTCCCGCCATCGTTTTTGTTTTATGTTTTTGTTTTCAATTTTTGCCCAAAACATGTTTGGTATGTGTTTTTGTTTTTTTTTTTAGCTAATATGTTCGGAAAAGAAGCCCAAAATTTACAAACAGAAAATTGACATTTTGAAAAATAGTGAAAAACAGAAACACACGGGCGGTGGGTGGAGGACTTTAATGAGGTCCACACTTCGAAATTTTTTAGTAGCAAAATATCCCATTTTTTGATCTTACTATTTAAACCCCCCAACCCCTCTCTCTCTCTCTCTCTCTCTCTCTCTCTCTCTCTCTCTCTCTCTCTCTCTCTCAAAGAAGGAACCCAACATCTTTGAAGCTTAGATCTACTTTTAAACGCTAGTCTCCTCTACATATATGTTCGATATATAGGCAGAGATATGTACAGATCTATGGATATATCTATTGTACTACTTTAAAATATCAGCATACATAAATTTTTTTTCCTCTTTTACTCTCCAATACTACAATTCTGTCATGCTTGTCCTTTTTAATCAATTGCATTTTAGACCTAATTCAACACTCTACACTAAACCTACTGCCTCCCAATGCTATAGCCGTTACACACACACACACACACACACACTCTCTCTCTCCCCCCCTACGCATTAATCAGGTCTCACTCTCTCTCTAGGGCTCTCTTAGTAAATCCACTTTTGCTAATTTCCATAGACTCACTATTGTAACAGACCATCAAATTAACATTTATTTATCTTCTTGTATTCTTTTATCTCTCGGTCCGTCCTTGACTAAAAATGATAAAAATAGTACTTATGCAAACCACTCATTTTTTGGTTTTGATTGGGTTTGGAGTGAACGTAATTGTAGAAGTAGGTTATTAGCTTTGTTGGATTCCTTGTTCTTTGTGATGAGCTTTGAGATAACTCCAAGATGGGAAAGCGGGTTTGTGGGGGTTGTTAAGGTATGATTTTATGGCTTGTCAGTGTTGGATTGCTCTGTATTGTTAAAAAAGTGTTGCACCACTACAAATGCCATGTCAATATTTTAAAAAGTCCTACATATAATACAATCTTTATGTTTATGTGGGAGATAAAAAAATGATGAACAATAGATAACTTTAAGTTGTATTTCATAGGTTAATTTTCAAATTTGAACTCGTGCCGTTTCATTTTTATGCACAAGTTTACTTAGCAGTGGTAAATGGAGAGTGAAGTGGATCTAGCACGATTTGGTGCAAATTATCCTAACAAATAGGTTATGATGGCTTGGACTAAAACAGATTGAGTTAAATAAGTCAATCTCCAGTGAAGAGTAAAATCCATCGAATTTATAGTTCGTGTCACTAGACGGAAAATATACGAAATCGTCTGAGCCACCGACGGGTTCACTGGAACCTCCAAAAGTCACATGGATAGGGTTTTGGTATAAAAAACATCATGGGATTAGAGTTTGATGCATGCATTAGATTTCTTGGGTTATCTAATAATTTGACTACTGTTCAAGTGCTAAGTAACCATCCATTTTGTAACAATGGATCCCTCTGTCTTAAACTAGGAAATATACTTTCGAGAAAAATACAAGAATTTAATATCAGGGTGAATTAGATTTAGGAATTCTATGATGAGTAGTGATTGGTTACTTTTTGTTCTAAAACATATGATATATTCTTGGCCTCAACTTCTTTTTTTGTTTTTTTTGATTAATTCTGACTTTTTTCTTGATGCAATTATAAGAAATTGTGTTTGTGGATTGCATGCATTTTTGATTAAATTGATTCAAGCTAAAATAAATACACCTTTCAATAAAAAAACAATATATGAAGCGGAATTCCACAAATAGTTATTATATTTGTTTTGAATTTTTTAAGACTGTCTTGTTATTATAAATTTATTTTTGTTAGGTTCGACCTTCTCTTCGATGTCAAGTTAATTGTGTGTATAATGCTATGCTAAGCACACACATGTATTATAATTCAAATATAAATAGAAAAAATTCACGTGCAACGCAAGTATGTAATAACTAGTATGCAAATCTATGTAGATCTGATTTTTTTGATGGATTCTCCCATTTTTGATTCTTTTCGATGGGTTTTCTAATACTGCATCACTATTAGACTGGTGTGAATATTAATATTCGAAGTGCAATTTTGAGTTTTTAGGGTTTGAGGTAAACTATGTTAATGCAAAATAATATTTATATGGCAACTGTTGTATAATAAATAATGAGCTACAAAGGTGGAACTGGAGGAGAAAGCTAAACTTGTGCTTGGGAGTCTCTATTCGCAAAGAGAACTTTGTTTGATTGGTCACTTGATTGTTGTTGAATGCAAAAGAGTACCATGAATGTCGGATGAGTCTAATTCAGCATAGATCCGATTTATCTTGTGTTTGCAATTTCAATTTTTATGGACTCTTCAATTTTCGTTCAAATCTGGAATTGAGGTGTTGGCTTCCTGGTTGGTTTGATCATGGTTGGTCTCCAAAAGAAAATTTTTTTTGTCCAATTCATGAAAATTCCTAAACACTAAAATTTGGCCAAATATGTTTTTTGTTTTTGTTTTAATAATTTTTTAAACATAGATGACTTTCAAACATATTTTTTGTTTTTTAATTTTTACCCTAGAAAAAAATAAAAAATTGTTACTGTTTTTTTTATTTTTTTGAAAATTCAAAAACAAAATAATTAAGTTCAAGTTTTCGTTATCGCTTAATCAAACTCATGCTTATATCTTTCTATAAACTAAAAATTAACTTAATAGACATAATAATAAAAATAAGTAAAAATATTTTTTTTGTACAAGAATTATATAAATACTTGTATAAAATAACAAAAAATTATCATTTTAATCCTATAATCTATAGCTATATCTATATCTACTTCTATACTACTAATAAAAATACCTTAAAATGAAAATTTTTTGAATCTACATATTACCCTTGTAAAAGATTGCAAAGACCACTCTGTCATTTCACAATTAAACATCTAAATTGCCATCATAACTTTATATATTTAAATCTCTAAAATATCCATAACATTTCTTTTAATTATCTATTCTCTATGTATAAATATTAATTTTATATAAAAAATTTGATTGACTATATTACTCTTAAAAAAATATGCATCACTATATTTTCAATAAAATATTCAAAAAAATCTCAAATATTTTATCAATGTAATATTACTCATCTTATATGCAAAGATAACATTATGCCTACATATGTGTATTTTTCACATCGAAAAGTTTAACCCTTTCATTTCTAAGATAAAAAGTAATAGTATATATAATTTTTCAAAATTACTTTATTTTACATAAATATTGATAATGCATAAAATAATCTCGTGCAAGATCAATAGTCAAATGTGTGATAGGGTGTAATTAATGAGAATTAATAAAGCATCCAATAGCAGTAATGTAAATATTGAATCAACACACAGATATATACTGATTCGGTACAGGTGATTTACTCCACTCTAAAAAACGACAATGGTGGCCGGGGTCTTTATTGATCAAGCAAGGTCTCCGAGAGAGATACAAAAGTTAGGAGAGAGAAATTATGTGTAAAAGGGTGTAGAGACAAAGCTCAATGTGTAGTGAGATGTCAAGATGTGTCCTCTCATGTGAAGAGGACTCATAATTTATAGGCATGGTAAGCGGTGACTTGAGTGTGAGAGTACTACTTCTTTGGGAAGGATAATTACAAATGGTAAGTACAATTAAGGTAGGATTGATCTTCGTGAGTGTGTATCCTAATAATCTCTCTCCCACGTGCTCTTATCCTTTAGGGCTCCTTTGATCTTGGACTAGGCCAGATTAATGAATCGGATTTGGGCTGCCTTCCTAGTGGATCTGGGATGCCTTCCTAGTTGATATGGACTTGCTTGATTTACTGAGCCTGGCCCAATTAGATCTGAGCCCATCATTTTCCCCCATGCCCCATGCCCCAATTGTTTGCGAGAGAAGGGTTTTAGGGCATGAGTGAGCTCTTAGTTTCTTGTTTCGCACAGTAGCTTCTTCATCTTCCCCATTTCTGCAAAAATTCTTTCCCCGTCTTGTATCATCATTACAATGACGATCATCTTTTGTGTTGGACCCTCAAAGCTAGGGAAATCTATAGGGAACCCCAAGGATAGTACCATAGAACTCCTCAATCATAAGTAAATCTGAGGGCAGATCGGCGACACAGAACGAGCCATTGCTGGTGTGGTCAGAAGAGGCAACAAGGTTGGCGTCCCTGGTGCTGATAGCGACACCATAAATGACCACACCCATGGCGTGGGATACAAAGGAGTGATGAGTGATGGCGTTGTCGGAATGAAGAGCAACACCATTGTGTCCTTGTCATTTGGAACCCAGGTGCTGGTTAACGCTAGCTCCATGGGAGACGCCCTTGGTAGTAGGAGATGCTGGGTTACTGAAGATGCTGAAGAGGGAGGTGCCGAAGAGGGAGATGCCGAAGGAGGAGGCGTCCAAGAGGGAGGCACCCAGAAGGGAGGCATCCAAGAGGGAGGCATCCAAGAATGAGGCATCCATGAGGGAGGCGCCAAAGAGGGAGGCGCCCAGGAATGAGGTACTGGGCACGGGCGTTGGCACGACAAAACTTCAAACGGTCATAACTTTGTTCATTTAAGGCGAATTTTTTTTTGAATCTGAGTATTTTTTTTAGATCTACGACATACAATCAGTCAAAGGAGATTTGGTCCCCAAATTTCTCCAAAAAATGATTCTATCTATCTGAACTTGAGTTTTAAACACAAATTAGTGAAATCAACGTTGGTGGAAAGCTACGCTTAGGCAGGCAGCTATCAGGCATTCATGGGCGATGAGTTGGTGTTCTGGCTTTTTGCCAGAAAGGGAGACTATGATGACTTTTGGCTATGCTGGTTCTTAACCTTGCCTCTAATTACAGGTGCTATCATTGATAGAGTGATGATAGAGGTGAAGGTTCTCTATGCTTTTAGGACAGCGTCTTCCCCTCTCTTCTCAAGAGGGCGAGGTTTGATGCCCCAGCCCTTGTGCAGTCTTCTATAAGGACTGTAGCTTCACATAGTTGTTCTGCTTCTAGTAGTGGCTCGGTGTCCATGTTTTGACTTGACTTTGGTCAAGGAGCGACTTTAGAGGTCTGTGACTCCTGGGGATATCAAAGAGGTTGGATCTCGAGGTCCAAGGGGCATTACCAATACCGCGATGGAAGGGTCTTCCATGGTATGCCTCTCTTCTTAACTTTGATTTTGTATTCACCTTCTTTCCTTCATGTTCTGCTTTTTGAATGCTTGTAAGCGGCTACCGCTTATCCCTGCCTTTTTCAAAGACGATCAAGCTTGGAGAGGCATTTAGACATCTGGTAACAGAGAGGCAGACATGGGGACTATTGAGAGCAGTTGAGGTTGGCTCATGAGAGAGTAACACCTCTTGAGGTCGAGCTTTTGGTGACTCATGAGAGAGACGCTAATCTGGAGACTGAGGCTGCTCAAGAACAGAGATAGGATTAGGCCGAGCTTCTTGGTGACTCGCGAGAGAGTGTAAAACTGGATACATAGGTTGTTTGGGAGCAAATGTAAGATAAGGCCGAGCTTCTTGACGACTCACGAGAGAGCGTTAAGCTGGATACATAGACTGCTTAAGAGTATGGGTAAGATAAGGTTGAGCTTCTTGGCGACTCGCGAGAGAGCGCAAAGCTGAATACATAGACCACTTGGGAGCAGAGGTAAGTTTAGGCCTTCTTGGCGACTCGCAAGAGAGTGCTATGCTAGATACATATGCTGCTTAAGAGCAGAGGTAAGATGAGGCCAAACTTCTTGGCGACTCATGAGAGAGAGTGAAGTTGAATACATAGAGTGCTTGGGAGTAGAGGTTGGATTAGGCTGAGCTTTTTGGCAACTCACGAGAGAGTGCGAAGCTGGATACATAAGCTGCTTGGGAGCAGAGGTAAGATAAGGTAGAGCTTCTTGGTGACTCGCGAGAGAGTGCGAAGCTAGATACTAATAAGATGACTGTCTGTGCAAGAATAGAGTCAGAGCTGCAAGCGCCCCACGATAGGGCCGCTAGAGTTAAGGCTGAGCTACGTATAGCTTGGGAGAGGGTTAGCATGGTAGAGACTCATTCCATTGAGATGGAGATGAGGAAGGAGGCTGGTAAGAGGGCCACGCCTTTATTGATGGTTATAAAGGGCTTGACAGATTTTCCTACTATTTATTTCTTTAGTTTTGTTCCATATGAGGCATTAGGGGTAGACGATGACGGAAAGAGCCTTGATGGTAATGGCTCGGGGAGCAATGACTGATCGTCAGGAATATGACGACTTTTGTCTTTTTGTCTACCTTGTTGTTAGGTCATGTTCTGACTTTTGTAAGCTGCTTACAAACTTTATGAAATGAAAAGTAAGACAGTTATGGACACAATAATCTTCGTAGAGTTTTATTTCATAAAATAATAAATAACAAAATAAATTAACTGAAACAATAAAGGATAGATAAAATCTTCAGGTGTTCGGTATCACATAGGTAAGCCAAGACTTTCCTGGTGGAGTTGGAGTTGCCTTCTCCTCCTAGCCCTTAGGAGAATGTCTGGATTTCTTTGAGGGGTTACTGACATTCTTTGTCATCCTGGTCCCATCCAGGTGGCAGGGCTTGTCCTCTACCAGCAATGTACTGCCTCAGCTGGCCATGTTGTATAAGCTCCTCGATCTACCTTTTAAGATCAAAGCAGTCATCAATATCATGGTCGTGGTCACGATGGAAACGACAATACTTGTTCGGGTTCCTACGGTTCGGGGCGAACTTCATTTTTCTAGGCTAGTGGAGCATAGGGTTATCCTTTATCTGGAACAGGATGTGCTCCATCGAGGCGTTGAGTGGCGTGAAGGGTTGCTATTCTTTTTGGGGTACTAGAATGAGAAGGTCTTTAACAGAGACTATCTTAGTTCTCTGTCTCTTGCTCTTTGCCTCCCTCTTATTTTCGCAGGTGTCCTTCCTTTTCTCTCCTCCTCAGGAGGACTCACCTTGATGGGCTTTGGTGACGTCCTTGGGGTTCATGTATTTTTATGTCCTTGAAAAAAGCTCGGGCATACTGGAGGGCGACTTCTTGAGGATAGAGTACATAAAATTAGAAGAGCGCAAACCCGCAATGAAGGCGGCTAGGGCTACTTTATCATCTGACTCTTCAATTTGGAGAACCTCTTCATTGAAATAAGTGAGGTAGCTTCTGAGGCTTTCATCTCGATCCTGCTTGATGGTGAGTAGGTGGATAATAGACTTTTGATGTCGACATCCCCCAATGAAGTGGGAGATAAAAGATTTGCTCAGCTCCGCGAAGGAAGGGATAGAAGAGGCTTTTATCTTCACGAACCATTGTCGAGTAGACCCCTTTATAGTGGTGGGGAAGGCTCTACGCATGATCTCATCAGGTACGTTATGGAGTTGCATGAGAGACTTATAGGTGTCAAGATGATCCAAAGGGTCCTTGGTACAGTCAAAGATTTCAATGGCAGGCATCTTGAACTTCGAGGGTCGGGGGTAATTGACAATGTCTTTAATGAATGGGGTATCAGTGCGCCTCACCAGGTAATCCACCGTCTCGGGTGCCTGTGACTTGATGGCGTTAAGGGCATCACCTAGTTGGTTTTACACTTCTTTGATTTTCTCGTCCCATTGGTTGGGGACATCCTCCGTTGGGTTGTTGTAATGGATTCCATGATTGACATACTAGCTTCCTGCTTCATCCTTCTGCGCAAGTACATGAGGAGGGGAAACACATGAGCTTCCTATGCGCTGAGGAGGGACTGTTGGGCGAGGGGCACCCTGGCGTTGCCTAGGGGCATTCTAGTGAGGGGCCCTGTGGTGGGGGCAACTTGGTGCCCAGAGTGGATAGGTTGTTGTGCTTCTCCCGTTGGAAGGAGTGGTGTTCCTCCCATGAGCGGAAAGGCGACGCCTCCCTAGACGAGCATTAGTTGAATGATTTGTTGGTTCTAGTTTACCAACAGCTGCATGGTCTATAAAAGTTGTTGCCTGACAATGGGAGTCGTCGTAACGGATGGTTCCAAGGGTGCGAGGGGAGGCGGAGCTTCCTTTTGGTGAGCCGGGTTGTTGTCTCCCGGTTGTTGACACATTGACCTGACCGTGATTACCATGGAGTAGCAAGGTAGCATAAAACTTAGTCGTTTTTCACAGATGATGCCAAACTGATAATGCACAAAATAGTCTCGTGCAATATCAACAGTCGAGTGTGTCACAATTTGTAATTAATGAGACAATTAATAAAGCATCAAATGGCAGTAATGTAAATATTAAGTCAACACATAGGTATATAGTGGTTTGGTTTGGGTGACCTACTCAACTCTGGAAAACGACAACGGTGACTGGGGGGTCTTTATTAATCAAGCAAGGTCTTCGGGAGAGATACAATAGCTAGGAGAGAAAAAGTTTATAGAGAGGTGTAGATGCAAAGCTCAATGTGTAGTGAGATGCCAAGAGGTGTCCTTTCATGTGGGGAGGCAGGGGCGGATTCACAGTAGGGGCAGTTGCCCCCACTAGAATTTTAAAAACTTTTGGGTACTAAGTGTAATTTTAAAAAATTTAGAATTTATTAGATATTTGCCCCCACTTAATTTTTTTTAAAAGATTTAAGGGTAGCTATGTTATTTTGACAAATATATGAGTCTCACTTGTAAATATCAATAGAAGATGATATCAAAAATTTGGACATTTAAAGATTAACTAATATGTTACGAAATAGGTTAGCCCTCTCATTTGTTTTATGTTTATACATCAAACTAAATTTAGGTTTGTAATCGTCTTCTTTGTTTTATGTTTATATGTTAGAATTAAAAATTAGGGTTTGTAGCCCTCTTTTTGTGGTTTATTTTTTAAATGTTAAATTGAAATTAGCGCTTGTAGCTCTCTGTTGTATTTTATTTGTTACATGTTGAATTGAAAATATAAAATTGGGACTTGTAATTATCTCTTATGTTTTATTTTTTATGTATTGAATTGAAACTAGGATTTGTAGTCTTGTATTTATTTTTCTATGTTGAAATAAAATTGGGGCTTGTAGTCCTCTTTTATGATATATTTTTTTATATATTTAATTGATATTTGAGTTTGTAGTACTCTCTAGTATTTTATTTTCATATGTTGAATTGGAATTATGACTTGTAGTCATTGCATTTGTTTTATTTTTATTTGTAGAATTGAAATTAGAACTTGTAGTCCTCCATTATAATTAGACTAAATTATTTTGATTTGGTAGTTTGAACAATTTTATTGTGATAAGTTAAGTACTTCATATACCTAGGTTTAGTTTGCTAGAATAATTATAATTTAAGTTAGTTTCGATTGTTTGTTAAAATTTAATGATGAATATTAAGTTTGTGATTGAACAAATAAATTTTTGAATTAGTTATAAAAAATTTTCTTAAAATTTAATATATGATTGAGCCTAATTTTGCGGTTCAAATTTTTTTTGTTAGGTCTTATAGATAAATTTATAATGAGTTTTTTTTATTGACTCATTTTGTATATCGCTTA